CAAGAACATTAGCAAACAGTTTTGGAAAATATCGAAACGTACGAGGTGGCGGCGCATTTGCATAGAGATCAGCAACATCCTGTTCACTTTTCGGTCGCCCAATCATCCAGCCAAAACGAGGGAATACCTTCAAAGAAAAATTTTTAACAACACATTACAAAAGCATAGCAGATTTGAAACTAACTGTAGAATGGATGTGGCAGTATAAGGGCAATTTGCTCTGAAGTTCTGCAAAAGGTACACCAAGGCGTTCGATAAGCGCTGGAGGGAAGTACTAAAAAATTGAGTTATATACTCCAGGCTTCAAAATGTTAGTCATAAATTATACAGAAAGACTTACACTTAATAAGCAAATTTATAAATAATTAGATATTGGATTTGAAACGATGATGCCAGATGATAGTTTGAATAGTTCGCTAAATTTTCTTTTAAAAAAATTTCTGGAGCCTTAAACCGTTTTTTCCCACAAAAATCTTCGAGTTCATTAAATACAACTTTGTAGTTATCTTTAACTTCAATTTCCCTTCACTTTTAATTCAACATCATTTTTAAAAAGATTATGCAATATAGACTTTTTCAACGTATGTATCCAGCGTACCCGCTTTGCTCGTATACGATGCAGATCTTTTGGTTGAACTATAGCCACTTTCCCATCAATTTCCGTCAGACGGCTGCAGTAGAGTTCATCTCCAAGTATCGGGCAAAGTAGATGCGAGAACATTAAGCGTGGTAGATGTCGTGCGACTGAATTCACAATGTTATCGAATATACTAAAACAGATCAGAATAACGAAAGTATTTTTAGGAAATCAAACAAATCTGAGTTTTCAACTTCCCATTGCGATATTCTGGGCTAACGTGAATTAGAAAGAACCAAACTTAAGTGACTCCAATGCTTTCAAAAACATGTGAAAAGCAGTTCAGTGAGAAGGGATGTAGAAATTCCAATTGTACATTATTTTTGTATTGAGTGTAACAACGTGTTTTTTTCATTAAACTATAGAAGTAAATCACGAAGTTAGACAATGTATATTCGCTGATAACATGATATTGCCGGTGTACATACGATATTGATACATGATGGAGAGATCAATCCCTTCATAAACAATAAGACCCTGATGCCTCTACTTTTCTTGCTATAACCCAATCCGAAATTATCAGTCCATGCACCATGGTGTGATATGATTTATTAAAAAAGGGGAAATTAACTAGCAAGATCTTCTTATTGCGGACGATCAGCTGGTGGGCAATACAAAACCAG